GACTTTGGCAGAAAAGATGAAAAATATTGGTGAGACTGCTAGCACCCCTGAAGAAGGAGCACACATGCTCAAGGAGGCTGTCAGCAAGCTAGAGGGTTCCAACATGTGGAGCCAGCACAACACTCACTTGAAACACAATGCTGCTGATAAAGAGGAGTTTGATCAGCTGTCCAAGAAGGATAAGGGAATCAGGGTGGCGATGTGGATGTTGCAGAAGAACATCCCCAGGTTCATGCATGTGTCCGAAACCCTGGAACAGTCAGCAACCCTTGATAAAAGGGAGAAATGGGAATCTGAGCTTGAGATGCTTAAAAAGTTCACAGCCGAGGAGCTAGAGCTCCACATTAGCTCTGGGAGGGTTTTGTGGAGATATGACCCCTGGACACCCACCTGCTACCAGTACCAGGACCAACAGGACACAACAAAGACTACAAGAGTCAAAAAGGCACGGGCATGGACAGAAGGGCAAGAGCATGAACAAACAGAAGACACAGCCCAGCAGTGGCATGACCTGAAATCCAGGGACTTCAATGCCCATATGTTGGATATTCAAGGGTGGGGTGGAAAAGGGAAATCCTTGCCAAAAGGATTTGGGAAAGGCAAAGCCTTGGCAAAAGGCAAAGGTCACCAAAAAAAACTTGCAATTGAAGGTGGTGACCCTGAAGATCCAGAGGCAACAGAAGAGCAAGAGTGGCAAACCTGCTTGAACAAGGTAAAGAAAGCAAGGGATGCTGGCAACAGTGTTTTGAGCGACTTGGAGCAAGCTACGCTCAAGTGCAACCAAGCCAAAAGGCTTACAAAGTCAGCTAGGGGGGAGGCTGACAAACTGCACAAGGAGATAGCCCAACTGGTGTCCCTCCTCAAAAAGGTTTTGCTAAAAAGGCAACAAGCAATGGCCTTGGCCAAAGTGAAAAGCTTGCTCCAGGACTCAGCCCAAAAAATCAAAGAAGTGAAGGAAGAGGTGAAGGAACTGAACCAGTTGGCCAACAAGGCTGCTTCAAAGGCAAGCAAATCGTAATCCCTTGAACAACAATCCTTGCCCAAAGGATGGGTTCAAGCCCTGCAAGACATTACCCAAAACCCTTGCCAAAAGGGATGAAGTGTTTGCCACCACCATTCCTTGTAGCTGTCCTTGACAAAAGGATGAGCTCCCTTTTAGCAAGGGGTTTTGCTGCGCAAGGACAAGGGTGCCACACAAGCTTGGCCCTTGGCCCTGGAGACTCGAACATAGGTGCAAAAAGGCAGCTGGGCTTGCGTGGGTTTGCATGATTGGTCAGGGTCAGTTGGGGAGGGATTGGCTAGGGGTTGGGATGGTTACGAGGTCAAGGGCTTACCAAAGGTTGGGGATACACCAACAAGTTCCCACCAGTTTGCACACACCTTTCAGATCCTTTCAGGGTTTACCAAATTGTGATTGTTGCATTTGGGTTCAAACCACAAGCTGTGAGTAAAGAAGTGCAATGCCCCTAACACCCTTGACAAAAGAGCCATGGAAAAAGAAACCGAAAGACCTGCCAAAAGGCTGAGAGGTTGGCAATTGGAGAAAGAAAAACACCAGGGTAATCCTTGCCAAAAGGATGAAAATCAACATTCTGCCCTTTGCACAAGGTTGCTGGAATTATGGTCCCAGGGCAAACTTTCAGCATGCCAAGTACAAGAGCTCAGCCATTTGGCTGTGCTAGATGGCTGCAAGTCATTGGAGTTGGCACAGCTAGCCAAATGTGGCAACTGGGGGCAGAACAAAGGCAGCACACACCCCCATCCAAGTGCCCTTGTTTGACAGCAAGACCCAAAAGGAATGCAAAGAGGAGGTGCCTGTCATGTTGCCACACCTTCTCTTTGCATGCCTGGGGCAGCATTATGGAGAACAGTTCCAGGAGTTCTTTGCCCTTTCTAATTGTGAAGGGTTTTGGAAGGGGGTAGAAAAAACAAAGGATGAAAGGTTGACTTGGCCATTAGCCCTTGACAAAAGGGTAGTGAACCCAAACGCCACAGTGCCAATATTCATCCATGGGGATGGAGTTGAATACCAAACAAGAGATTCCTTGATGACATGGTCATGGGGGCCCATGTTATCAACACATGGCAGCCTGTCCTCCCACTTACTTCTTGTGGCAATCCCCAAATCTTGCACCTTGCCAGGAACTTGGGAGCCTTTACATGAATGGATCAGCTGGTCTTTTGCAGCCTTGTCAACAGGGGCCCACCCAAGTAAAGACCCATGGGGAAACCCCTTGCCAAAAGGGATGTCAGAGCTAGCTGGGCTTCCCTTGTCAAAAGGGCACCACAGAGGAATAATATGGAGCATACAGGGGGATGCTGAGTTCTATGCTAATGTGCTGAAACTTCCACATTGGCAGAACAAAAACCCTTGCCATGAGTGTGATGCCCAAAGGCCTGTTTTCCAAAGAAAGAAATGCCCTGATGGCAAATCAGTCAAGATCCTAAAAGAAGCAGAGCAAGATTTTGTGGAAGTCAGTCCTACCCAAGCACTCCTTGTCAAAAGGAGCAACCACCCATTGTTTTCAATCGAAGGGGTGTCCACTGCCCTGGTGAGAGGAGACAGCCTGCATATATTGTACTCGAGGGGGGTGGGGTCTCACCTTGCAGGAAGCCTGCTCCACTATTTGTGCTACTATGATGGCACAAGGAGGCAAAGAGTTGCCCCAACCCAAAGACTCAACGTGTTGTTCTCCAAAATAAAGGAGAAGTACACCCAGCAACATGTCCAATCAAGAATGACCAACTTGAGGCTCAGTATGTTCACTGACCCCAAAAAACCTCACAAGCAGTTTCCCTGCCTGGAAGCTAAGGCTGCAGAAACCAAACACATTCTGCCTTGCCTTCTGGAAGTGCTGATTGAAGCCCTCCCTGAGGGAGAGCTTATCCATCAACAAATGATTGAATGCTTGGCCAGCTTCAACGAAATCATCCAACATTTTGATGGAATTGATCTGTTCCCTACCGAAGCAGAGAATGGCCTTGCAAAAGACCTTGCTAAAAGGTTTTTCAGTTCTTACCAAGATTTGAACACATGGGCCTTGTCAAAAGGCTTGAAGCTCTTCAATGTCACCCACAAATTCCACAGCATGATGCACTTAATCAAGAATGCCCAATTCCTCAACTTCAGAATCCACCACAACTTTAGGGCAGAGGATTTTGTTGGCCAGGTGAGCATCTTGACCCACTCAGTCAGTTTTGGTGTCAAGTCAGTCAGACTATGTGCAAAAGTTGCAATTAAGTATCGTATTCTTTTACACTTGCAGCTGACCAGGCCAGGTTTTCGCTACTTGGAGGTAGAGGAAGAAGCAGGCCACCCTTGATAAAAGGGAAAGCCCTTGTTGAAAGGGATTTGAGTTTAGCTCCCTGTTGCACCTATCCCTTGCAAAAAGGGCAGTTTCACACCTTGCCCTTGTCAAGGGCATGGCTGTGTATGTTCAAAGCAAAAAAGCATAAAATTCAGACCGGCCTTTCTATTGATTTTATTATTGATTACACCTTGACTAAATGAGTGTTTTTATAATTGATTTCACTATTGAATTTGCTATTGATTCGGCATGCTGAATAATCAATTAGAATATATTGAAAAAAACCGCTCTTCAATAGCAATGAAAAGTTATCGATTACAATCAATAGCCGATGCTCAGGGTAAACCGGGGATCCCCAAGAGCTCGTCGACTATACCCAATGCCCCCAAGTGCTGCTCACTCAAGATCAAGTAGTCGCTCCAAGCTGCAAGTGGTTGTACTTTTCCTGAAGCTCGTCAACTGAACCCAATAAAACCAGGTGCGCCTGCTGCTGTTCACCCAATATCAAGTTGTCGACTTGAGCTGCAAGGAATAAGCCGTTGCGATACGGCTGATAACCAAAAGAATCCGCCGCCTGAACCCAGTTGTGCAATCCGTGCAAGCAACTGTCAAGTGACAGATTCCAGTGTATGCTATGGCAACCGCAAACGAGGAACACTTAAGGGATTCGACCCGCCCCCGCCCACGGACTTTTGCCTTGAGCCAAATGTAAGGATGCAAACAGTTCAGGCTAGGAATGGAAACCTATGGCACTGCGATTCCGGGGCACATGATCACACTGTAGAGTATGGTCCAAATGACCATTTGAGTTGATGTTATTCTTCTCTCTTTCATATCTTTTCTGGAACTTGTCGACAGGGGCTCTGCCGACTTATTCAATATGTGCTCCATTCCCTTGAAACAAACACACATCACATTCTCCTATGATGGCGCGTTCGAGAAACACAAGCATTCGCGCGAGCCAAGGACAAAATAGAAATCAATTGGGCTGGCCCTGCGCTTCAACCTGCAAAAATATGAAATCAAAATAATTATGTGCATTTGGTTTCATGTTTATGGGGGTCCTGGAAGGCAGCCAAAAGTACCCGGGCCTTGCGAAGTCGGGAGGAAAATTCCCCAAAAGGAAGCCAACAGGGCATAGGTAATTTTGATCTTTTCTATACCGAAGAACCAGTCAAAGCGGGGCCCCGAGACTTTAACTGAGGTCTCCTTCGAAATGTCACATTTTAGGGCCTAAATATGCAACATAACCGGATTTTGGGAGTGCAGCGAGGATGCTTACGGATTGGTACCCTGGGTTCCGTGTAATTATTGGAGACATGCGGGAAGGGGACCCGGGGGGACACTTAGATGTTCAGCCCTTACCCCTGCTGGTCCCATCTTATACTGCGAGTGCTCGGGCTCTTGACCAGTTCCGAAGTTTTTACATTGTTGACGCAACATTCAAGCTACCTACCGGCCACTTTCTTAGTCTTCTTCCGGGCAAGAAAACTGGAAAGTGTTGGAATGGGTGGACCATGTCACACCCACCCAGTTGTTCAGTGGGGAGGGGGGCGGGGTCCGGCCCCCCGCTACATTGTTCTATTCCAAGCACACGATTGTCCTTGTCAAGGCAAATGGCCAAGTTTGGGTATGAGTGTGGGAAAATGCAGGAAAGTAGTCACAATGGCATGCGCAGCTAGCGGGCCAGGCCTTCCAGTCATCCTTCTGATCCCACTCCTCCTGGTCCCACTCCTCCTCTTCCCACTCTTCTTCTTTCTTACCTGCCTCCCAATCGTCCTGACAAAGGGCGGCCTATCTGCAAAGGTCGAACTTCTCAGCAGCTGTCTACACACCCGAAGTCTTGCCAATGACCTGTTGACCAAAGTTGACAAGATGTCCTCTAATGCACCAGCTTCACTGGACCCAGATCTGCTCAGCCAACGGTCATAAGACTTCCGCCTTCATTCACCAAGGGCTGGATGTCTCTTGTATGGCCTTCTGGCAGCCTTCCGCATGCCAAATAGACTAAGCCCCACCCATGCCAATGTGTCTCTAAATCAGACCTTCACAACTGGAGTACTCTTTGGATTCCCTTTTCCCGGAATTGGGCAAACCTAAAAAGTGACACACCCAGACTAGCCACATCAGCCATGTGACTCCCTGCTTCCCAAAAAGGACACTCTCCGTCAATGTCAGGCGCCGCGCAGTGACGTACCGCTTCACGCCGCACCCGCCTCATCGTCATCCCATACTTTGTGCCTGGGCTCCTCAGCTCGTGGTGGGGGGGGGGGGTACAAATCAACAGCGATGGCCACGAACAGGAAGCAAAGGCAGCTTCGGGGCATGCAGGTTCCTGGAATTTGCCTGTAGACATCAAGCAACTACGAATATGTTCAGGAAGGTAACACATACTGTCAACACCCCCGCCGATTTCCTCACATTTGGTACATTCACGGGCACTCTAGTGTGAAAGTTCAGTCCATCAACCACGTGAAGCTGGCACGCGAGCACAGAAAGGGGCAACCGTGGACCAAACGTCCTCAGATCCCCCGGCAAAAGTTTAACTTTTACTGGGTTACTAAACGGATGGCTGGGAGCCACCCAGGTTTGCAGTTTCAGGGGAGAACGGGTAAGTGGTCAAAACTCCCATCATAGGCCATGCTGCTTCAAGCAGGAACCCCGAATGGAGATCTGCCGGGACCGCCCTCCAACTCCAGCTGCAATTTGTGCAATTTCAAAACCTGGCCAAGTAACCTACATCATGTTGAGCTCCCGTTAATCGCGCAGGTCGTTATAAAATGTGCAAATCCAATTAAAACTGTCTAGTATTGGTCACCCCCCTCCCCCAATTCCATTTCTAAGGGGGTGGGGATAGACATGGCATGTTCAGATTTGTGTCCATGGTTTGTCAACCTGCTACGCAGCCAAAGGCAAACCACGGAATATGTTTCTTTGTTTTGGGGGGGATCCCCTAAATTGGAGACGGCTCAGCTTCGACTGGCAGGAACAAGCTTAACCTTCTGTTGCGACATCCGGAAGGAAACGCCAGATTCACAAGGGGACATCAAGCCCTTCGATTGAATTCGCGATTGCCAACCCCATCCAAATTGAGGCGGCGTCTCTCTCGAGGCGCTGTCGCTTGGCCTGCAACGTGGGTATGAGTTGAACCCCGAGAAAAAGTCTGGGTGTGTGTCAAAACTCTGGTTGGCTCATAATCCAATTTAAGAGGCAGCACTTCGCTTTTTGGGCAAACCAACAAATTTCATCCCCGAGGTTGGCTAATCCTGGGTCGACATTGCCCCAGTTGCCCAGTGACCCTGGTAGACAAAGGTATGTCATTTCTGCTGGGGGGCTAATCGTCGACGCGGTCTCCATCCAGTATCTTGTTTTAGCGGACACGTCCCCTGGAAATGCAACCTCGTTCTCCAACCCTCTACTCCTTTGGACTCATTCGTCTTCCAAGGGCGCATGTGTGGTGATCTCGACTACCTACATGTCATGCCCCTACCTCGTGTTGGGGCTGGTCCTGTCTCGTTTTTGCACCTAATTCAGTGTGCTACCCAAAGATTTTCCGAATGGCCTTCACCGCAGTGCTTTTGTAATACAACAAAGGCAGTCGCTCACATGGGGTTCAACAAGAGGGCCCAGCCGCGTTTTGATCAGTCTGCTTCTCTGTAGCCCCTGCCAGGTCGTATGACTTGTTTTCCAAGAGGACATGGGACACTGAGTATATCCCCTGATGAGTTCCCTCATATCCCGCCCACGTGAACCACAAACAAATCAGGAATCCAAACCTCGCTTGCCACAAGTCAATCCAAAAAAGCCAGCCTTGGACTCAACCTGGTGGTGCTTCTGCGTCTCCTGATGCACAATGGACCCTCAAGAGTGTTTGTTGTTTCGACATATAGTAGTTGTACAAACCTGTCCTTGTCTGCATCACTAGTAACGACCAGGTAATGGTCAAGCTGTCTGTGAGAATCCTCATGGCTCGAGTCGGGGCGACCACGAATCGCCGGCCCAAGCCTCAGACGGGGGCCCAAACACAGCGTGAACGAGCGAATCGCCTCCGTGGCGCCACGCAAAATGAGCCTATCCTCAATAGTGAGGCTGCTACAAGCGGGCGTCGTAAGTCACCCCACGTCGTGTTAAGTCACCCCAGCCATCCCCAGCCGCTTGGAACTACGCATATCCGTTTAAGTCACCCCATGCGTTTTAAGTCACCCCATTTTTGCAAAACACCATGGGCACAGAACTGGAAGGGCGATGTTGCCAACCCCAAGAATTCACCGCACACTGCGCGCACATGCTCAAAACTCACTGGTTTGGGTTCATGTTGAATGCTTTTCCTGGACAAAACCCTATTGGGCACACTGCAGTTAAAAGGTTCCTAACCTTCAAACATAAATAGTGTTTTCGGTTGGTTCCCCCGGAACACCCGACAAAAGGGCTGCCGGCGCGAGTGCCGCGCGACTCTGCGCGAGTGCCGCGCGAGCGCCGGGTGAGCCGTGCCCTCATCCCAATGAACATTTTGCATGCGCACAGCGCAGAATGATGCGATTTCAGAAAATGGCATGCTTGAGACAACTATCTTTACATCCACAAACACAACGGGCACACTCACCCGGGACGACTTAGATCAACCCGGGACGACTTACAGCACTTACCCTGTACCACGACTTGTTGGTGGCCCTTCAACTTTCAAACGCACATGACCATTCCACACTAGAACAAACTACAAGATCTAAGCATGGACGACCCATCCCTCGCTCCTGCCAGCTTCTATGCGACGTCGCCCGCGGCTTTGGCGGTTGAGAGGATGCCCGTGGGGCTGGCCGCGGAGCGCGGGGCGAAGCATGGGGCGGCGGCTGGGAGGGCGCCCGCGGCGGCGGGCGTGACTGGGGTGGCCGCGGAGGCCGGGGCAATGGGGCAGAGCTTGGCCTGGCAAGTGGCAAGCTATGGACGCTCAAATGGTTTTCTAAATTCGGCGCCGTTCGGCAACGAGCGTCTGGTGCTGCAGAATCAATTCGCGTCGCGTCGCACCAAGTTCACTGGCGCAAGAATAAGACTACCAAGATTACCAAGCCAAATAGCTTCTCCAAATCGGAGACCCCCAAAATGGCAAGTGTTCCTTTGTTTGTCTGGTAAACCAACCCAAAAGGGCCCCTAGAACAATTGCATCATGGGGCAAACTGAATGAATGCTGGCAACTGATAGATGCGTCACAACGGGCTTTCAAAGTGGTGCACGCAGCTCCCAAACCACCTACTACTGAAAATACCTTGGACTCGCACAAGCGGCCCTTGGTGAGGGGTGGCGTAACTTCCTCTCGGATTCTCGGCATTTTGCTTCCCGCGGGAAGATCACTTTCGCACTTCAGCTGCGCGGCGGCCTGGGGCGGCCTGACACAAAACGAGACAGCCCACATTTCCCGCAAAACATTGCGCCAAATGCCATGAATGCCAACCAAACATACAACGTTTAGTGACGAATAGTACGTATGAAGCTGCAATGCTTGATCCTGCAACACAGGGAACTATGCACGGAGTCCTTGTGATCTGATTGTGTGAAGACGAATTCCATCTGGCAAGCTGTGGGATGCAACATTGCGTGTCTGGTTGGGCCTGTGCGGCTTTCCAAAAGGATGCACAGACATATGCGAGACACAAATATATATATATATATATATACGTTCCAAAGGCGAAGTTGAACTTGGATTTCCCGTGAGCTGCCGAGTCAAATCATCCTCTTCGTATTCACGCCTTTTCACGCTCATTCACGGTTTGGCTTTTGCACCCGAAAAAAGACAACTGGCGTTTGCGCTTCAAGCCACGCAACACTCAGCGCATGCTACGCAAGCGCAGCCTTGCACGTCTCAGCAAGCCCCGTGACCAGGCAGTAGCTTCATGAGGCTGTGTGCATTCCGAAGTTTCTGAAACCGCTCCTTACACGTCCGCTAAGGAAGCACTGAGCGAGATTAAAAACCGGTCGCTGGTTAGCCACGGAGCCGCGGTTCCGCCCGTCTCGGGGTGCGTCGTCGCGCATTGTTTTAGGTAGGCGCTGCGCAGTGCCTGGCTCCACTCCTCGCCTGGCAGCTGGGTGAGGGTGAGCACGTCGACCCCCATGACCTGCGAAGCAGCGAAGACTTCAACAACAGGCGGCTCCTCCACAATGTCCGAGTCGCCTGGTCGAACTTTGGGGAGAGCCCTTTTGGACTGACTTGAGTGTTGAATCCTAGGTGGCTTTTGTGGAAAATTGATGGCGCTGGTGCAGCGTTGGATTTGGAACCAATCAATCAGTGCAGTCCAGCGTGATACCAAGCCGGTTCCCACACTCTGCGGGCGATTGGGACACTTCAGTAGCCCAGTGAAGAAGCAGCGCGCTGTTGCGTGCTGCTTGCTTGTTCCCTGCAGGGGCTTGGGGGCTTCTGCTCAACGGCATCCTTGCAGCTGCGTGCCAACTTAGCCTCCTTGCAACTGCATACGCCTCCGAAACAACTGCCAAAACCCGAAAAAGTTTCTTTTCACGCCAAGTCGCAAGCTGCAAGGTGCAAGAAGCCTGTTACCTGCTGCCTCGGCCTGGGCTTACTGATCGGAATCGGACTCGCTGGAATCACTGGGAAGAGTTGCTGCTGCCGCGGCAACGTCCACCGCCGCTGCCGCTGCAGGCGGCAAGGGCTCGACTCGGCGTCGTCGCAGCGTCCTTGCAGCTGGGCGACTCTGATTGTGAGTGAGACTCCTCTGGGGCTCTCGTCTTGGCGGCGCCCTTGCAGCCGGACTTGTCGAAATCTGGACTCTGATTGAGACTCGGCGTCCTTGCAGCCGGACAAGTCACCAGGACGACGAACACGGAAGACTCTTCATGCAACTTTAACCTCGATCTTGCCTCGACTCTACCTCGGCTCTACCCCAACTCAAAATGATAATGTTGCGCAACTACGCAAAAAGCGCAAAACAAACAGGAGCCTCCCAAGTCCTTCATTGGAACTTTGACCGTTGGGAAGGATTTCCGGGTTAGCTTTGCAACTCTCATCAGACGTGGTCTTCTGGTGCAAGTACGTCGAAAATCGGCCTTTCAAACAGGTTTTTGCTGAACCTAGTAGTTGAGTCGCCAAAGGATGGCCACATGTTCAGCATGCGTGTAACCTTCGAATGCTGGGTGGGAGGTGTGGCAACCTGTGCGGCGTCTGCTTGGGTCTTTGTTGAGGCATCTGGTTCAACCCATCATCGCACCCCCCTTCCTGCTGCTCCTCCTCCTCTTCCAACACAATTTCCTCATCACTGCCACAAGCATTAGTGCTTGCATCGGCAGGAGCAATCTTTTGTGTTCCCGGAATTGTGAACAAACTTCCGCAAGGAACGGGCTCTCTTCTGGATGTTGTGCTCCTGCGAGTTCCAAAATGGCACGCGTGGTTTCTAAGTCGATCGACATGCGCTCCAGAACGCCTAGTCGGCCTTGTAGATGTTAAGGACCAGTTTGGAGTGTAGGCGATGATATAGCTCGATGGAGGTTTTTCTCGGTCTCTGCCCGGCTCTGCCCACTCCTGCAGGCTGCGCGCGACGCACGGGCTGGCTCGCACAGGACTGTCGATTTCAGCCGAGTGTTGAGTGGACCCCCCATTCTCAGAAAACCCTTTCCTGCGCTGATATGCGCAAGATCATATCACATCCGATATCCCTGCAGTTTTGCCTGTTTGACCTGTCCTCTAGCTGTGCCTTTTCGAGCATCTCCGCCACAAAGAGCGTACTCAGCACCGATTGCAGAAAGAGCTGCCTAGAAAACATCACGAGTAAATTTGCTGTTTAAAGCAGCGCAGGTCTTGTCCGGTCTGGTTGCCTGAATATCTGTGGCGGTCGGCATGTCCACGGCAAAGACACTGAGCCAGTCAGCCGCGAAGTCAAAATTGCCAGGCCCTGAGACCTCAGCGCGCGGCAGATGAGTTGGAGCCGGCGGGAGCAAGCTCTGCCTGGCCAATGGACTGGCTGTCCTTCAAATTCAGGAAGCTAAAGGCGAATAAAACCTGGAAGAAGTGCTTCATCGGCACATGATATACACACTGTATGCAATGCTAGTGACCCAGCCTTTCTATCTTTCAGCGCCCTTTTTGCACGATCTTCTGGGATGCCAAGCCCGCGAAAAAAGGACGCTGATACGCTACGCGACCAATTTAACTTTGCAAAGCAACTCTGCTACGGCCCCAGCCTGTTGAACTTCTCTGGCACACGGGCTTCTTTGGTTTTTCCTCAAGGATCGCCTCGTCGAAATCGCTCCAGTGGCTAGACGCGAGTTTGTGTATAAAGCGCTTCAAGACAGGCTTTCAGCAGAGCAACTCTTCGCTCGCATGGATTCGCGGTTGGCGTCGTAGCTGGCTGGTTGTCAACATGATTAAGATGCGCTATATGGACCCTGGTGACGCCTTGCGCCGCCATAAAAAACTGTGAAGGGGTCCATCATGATCGAGAATTCATCCAGCTTTGACAACCCCGCAGCTACATGCGGCAAATCGCTGCAGGATAAACATGCAAACATGTCAATTCGCCAACGCGCATGTCAACATGTCACTGGTGTCAACATGTCATGTGCGCTGCCTTGCAAATCATGGTGCTGGGATGCGGCCAAGGGGGCGCACCTTGTGCCAAAAAGCGCGTGCGAAGCGCTCGCTTCATACACCGTGCGAGCAAAATGGCACAGGTTGCCACTCCACGGTCGAGTTCCACATTATTCGTATAATATAAATTAATGGATCTTGTTTTCTTGTGATATGATCCGTGCTGCGTGAACCAGTTGGGCCAGAAATCAGCCAGCAACTGCATGAGACGAAGGTTAAGCTTGTCCAAAGAGTAAGCTTGTCCTGTTCGTGAGGCGAAGTTAAACTTGTCCTAAGAAGGGCAGGGAATACATATCTATATATATAGATATATTATGTGTATATATATATATATGTATATATTTATTCACAACCTCGATAATCAACGCAATATACGGCAATCGAAACTACGTCTGCTTGGCCTGGTCCACCAACCAAAGGACACACCCACACGATGTGAGCGAGGTGCGTCGCCCCAAAACCAAACACCACAAAACTCCAGGGTTGGAACAAGCGCAGGATGAACAGATCAACAAGGCTCCTTAGTTCCGCCTCAAAGGGTCATCCGATTGAAAGGACACCAACAACAGCTCACCAAATCTGAGCGGGTCAAATCATTCACCAACCAAGAATAAGGGTTCTGCGGCAAAAAAAAGGAAGACAAAAACATATCACCGTGGATGAGATTGCAAACCAACAACCTGTTTGAGGTGGTGATAATCACAATATATCCCAACACAATAGGGCTGTCCACGGCCATAAAGGGGGATGCACTCAAGATTCACCTGCTATGGGGGGTCTACGCAAATATTGGCTCAACTCCGGGCGGCACCAAACAAAAAGTTCAGCCTACGTTTCATGTTGGTCATCCTCTTTTTTGCGGGTACCCCATATTGTGTGGTTTTGAAGGGATACCAACATTGGAAACCCGCCATTGTTGGGAGTCCCCTGAAAACAAGACACACCCATATGGCTGCGGGTCAAAACTCCGTACCCCTGGTGAACATCAAAATAGGTGGCACATGGATGTTCATCCACCCCAAAGTCGAGCCACAGGTTATGCCCCATGGCCATGTAGACCCAAAGGAGACTCCACGCCTCATGCGGTCTTGGCCTCCATGGGCGGCCGAGGAGGGCCCAAGGCTTGGCGCAAGGAGTGCAACGCGATGCCTGGCTGCCGAACTTTTTTCGGCGCTGGCTGGGTGGTCCTCGTGTTTTTTTGTTCTTCTTCTCGGGAGCCCGGTGGTTTTGATTCGTTGTTGTCTAGGTCCTCCAGTAAAGAGGTCAGAATAAGGGTACCCGATTTCTTTTCTGCAGTTTATTTTAGAAGGGGAACCCTCCCCCCAAAAAAGGG